AAGAGAGAGATTGGCATTAACTGGAACATGCCAGTGCCTCCTGCTGTCTCCTCCTCCTACCCATCGGTCTGCAGTAACGAGGGTGGTGAATCAATGTCAGATTGTTGCAGACTTTTTTCTCCCAGCAAACACACCACGGATCCCGGGAATCTTGAAGGGAGGGAACATCCAGAACCAGAACAGATACAAATGCCATTGCCCAGACTCTAAAAAGACAACAGAACGTTTGTGGACACTTAACGACAACAAACAACAAGATTCCAGTGTTTTTCTGCTGGCAAAGTACAGAGGAAGAGCAAGTAGAAAACCGGGAAGCTATTTGGAAGATAGAACCACAGGTAAGCTTTTTGAACGGATGAAAACTATTATTATTTAAACTATCCTTCGTTATCTTGTGATAACCGAATAATTATCTTTGAGAGAAGCAGTGTTATCAGCTCGGATAAAGATAACAGAGCTTTGTTATGTCAAGATAACGGGATAATTAATTCAGATAATGAGCTTTGTCTTTCTCAACATAAAGGAATAATTATTTCGTTATTTGAAATACGAAATATTTATCCGGTTATATATCGAGAAACAAAGCCCTGAAAAGAGAAATAATCTAATTGTCATTATCTTAAATGATAAAAAAAAAATATTTGTGAGTATGGCCTTCTCTCGCTTTCACAATGAGTTGCTCTCCAATGTTTTTACCACCTAATATTGTTGCATGTGGAGTTAACTTGAAATTATTATCTTTGTGGAAATTTAAATTAGCATTTGTACATTTAATTCTATTTTACTGCAGTCAGCCCACATCAATAATTTTAGTGCCTTCCATTATTACAGCTTGAGGACTTTACGTTTCAGCCGCAACATGGGCATTGAAACAAAAAAGGAGCTACAGTCCAGCATGTGAAAGTGATACAACGAACCAATGGGTTCGACAAAGGGCCATTTATTACCAGCTCTTATGGCTTGACTGAAAACGATATACCAAAATTACTTTCACTCTGACCAAACATTGTTCCCCAAGAAAGCACATTTAACAGGGCACTGGAACAGAATGAGACCTGCATCAAATGTGTTCTGGATAATACTGCACATCAACAACAACGGCCGTAAAGAAGCTTTGTGGGTGATCGAGCACATTCCCAGCAACAACAACAACATCGCATCAACAAAAAAAACATTAATATTCCAGCCATGCTCTGGTCGCATTCTGTTGTACAGTCCAGTCAGGGGATGTGGTTGGCAAAGGTAACTGATTGGCCAAAACGTACCAGAAAATAAGAAAGATGTTCTATAATATGCAGACGAAAACCTTGGCAGAGCTTCAATGCTAAATGGGAAATACAATTTGAAGTAGGGTTTCTGGACCACATTGTCCTCTCCACAACAACTGTTCGCTCAAGTTTTACCCTCACCTTAAACGCCTGAAAATAATAATGCAAATGCCCACCATCCGTTTCAACTACTTCTGCTTCCTTCTACATTATCTCTAAGCCTCTCAGTTTCAACCAGTCTGCCCCTCTTCCTACTACATCAGACTCACCAACAACCACATCTGCCCCAGCCATGTACCACATATGGCCTTTTTTACAACGCACAACTGACTTCATCTAACATTGGCCCGCTACCACCACTTCTGCCCCAGCCAGTACCACATCTGGGGCCTTTTACTACCGAACCTGGAATTCATCTACAATCTGGCCCGCTACACCACTTCTGCCCGCAGCAGTACCGCACATCTGGGCTTTTACTACCAAACCTGGAACTTCATCTAAACATCTTGGCCCGACTACACCACTTCTGCCCAGGCCCAGTACGAATCTGGGCCTTTACTACCACACTGGAACTTTCATCTACATCTGGCCGACCGCTACAACAACTTCTGCCCCCAGTCCAGTACCACATCTGGGCTTTGACTACCACAACCATGGAACTTCATCTACATCTGGCCACGCTACCGCAGCACTAAGCATCTTCTCCGCCTGCCCCAGCAGTTAACCACATCTGGGCCTTTTAACTACAAGCCCTTGGAACTTCATCTACTCTGGCCCAGCTGAAACCTCCGACCCTACCACTTCGCCCTCGCGCGTAACTCTGGGCCTACACCACACGGCTCATCCGGCCCTACCGACCACTTCTGCCCCAGCCAGTACACATCCGGGCCTTTGACTACCACACCTGGAACTTCAAATCTACATCTGGCCCCGCTACCACCACTTTCTGCCCCAGCCAGTACCACCTCTGGCCTTTACTACCACACCTGAACTTCATCTACATCTGGCCCCGCTACCACCACTTCTGTTCCCCCAGCCAAGTACCAATCTGGGCCTTTGGACTACCAACACCTGGAATTTTCATCTAACATCTGGCCCCGCCACCACCACTTTCCGCCCTGCCAGTAAACGCCATCTGGCCTATTGACTACCACACCTGCGAATTTCATCTACATTGGGCCCCGCCACAACAACTTCCACCCTGCCAGTACCAAATCTGGGGCTTTTGGACACCACAACCTGGAATTTCATCTACATCTGGCCTACCCCACAACCTACTGAAACATCAGCAACAACTATTCCTTCTAACAACACCACTCTCCTTTCTGACCAACAACATTCTTCTCCTACACTACTAAACCCCAAACTATACCACATTGCTAAAACGACAACCACAGCCCTACAACAACGCACCACAACTATAGGCTACAACCACTAAGTCCACGACAACCACTACCACAGCACAATACAAACACAACCACAAAGAAAGAAAGACAAAGATGAAAACAACTAAATAGGTGAGCAGAGACCGAAATGACCAAGAGCCAAGCAAAAAGCAGGTATGGCAGGAACTGTTGGCTAGGCAGGAGATGTTGTAGCAGCAGGGTGTTGTAGCAGGAGCTGATTGTGTAGCAGGAGATAAACATTTAGCAGGCACTGGTGTAGCAGAGCAGGTGTCAGCAGGAGCTGGTGTAGCAGGAGCAGGTTGTAAGCAGGAGATGTTTGTAGCAGGGAAGCGCTGTTGTAGCAGGGAGATATTCTAGGCGGCGGCTGGTGTAGCAGGAGCAGGTGTAGCAGGAGCTGGGTGTAGCAGGACAGGTGTAGCAGGAGATGTTGTAGCAGGAGCGTGTTGTGCAGCGAGATATTTCTAGTCAAGGCGCTGGGTGTACAGAGGTGTCAGTTTGAGCTGGAGCAGAAAAAAAAAAAACAAAAAACATGGCATCTGTGCTATTCTGTAATTTCTGCCAATTTCTATTCACTGAAATTACAAATACAGATGACAGATGAATAAAATGCAGAACAAACACGAGAAGCAAAAAGAAAAACTTACCATCCCTCAGCTAAATTGGTGTCAGTGGAAACGACCGTCTTCCCCAGATATCAACTGAGCCTGAGGAGGAAGTCTGATTTTATACTCAACCATGTATGAAAGTGGGTGTGCTCTTCCCACCAGTAAGATGCTTGCTCTTATCTTTTTGCAACCAGAGAAAACTGGCAGATCTCATCAACACCGTGTTTCACATTCACACATTTCTCAAAAACAGACTTAAGATACTTAAAGACGTGTTAAGTAGAAAAAAAAACAAAACAAAATGACAGAACGCAAAAACACACAAAACATTTAAAGTTATGTTTGTTTTTTGTTTAGAAATTGCACTATTTTGGTCCCAACTGAAATATCTCAGAATCTATCAGATGGATTGCCATCACATTCATGACATTCAGGATATTATGAGCTTGTTTTATACTTTATGTTTAAGATTTAATCACTTTGTTCTTTATCCTATTGTTGTTATTATTCCCTGAGGATGAACTCTACAGACTTTGCTGATCCTCTGACTTTTCTTTTACCACCACCTGGAGGTTGACCTTTGGTTTTTAGCGAAACATCTGTTTGGACTTTTAGTATTAATGGCTCAAATAGTTCTAAAATGCAGTGATAATGTTACTTTAACCGCTATAAATCTGTTTTCATGGAGTTCACCGTGATGGATCACCAATATGCCAGTCTGATTTTCACATCAAACTGAAACTAAACCTGTTGATGTGACCCCTAAAATGTGCGTCTCATGAATTTCTGCGAAGCAGCTCTCACAGAAACCTCTTGTTCCCCTTTTACATGACAACCCCTTTTTAAGGCCATGGTTCCAGGAAAAGTTCATCCTGTGGAAGCATTATACACTAATGCACTGACTCCGTCATGTTTAGTTTTCTTCACAGATAGCTGAAACTTTATGACAGATAATGTTGTATTTGCAACTTTACAAGAAAGAACAATAAAGTTTACAACTGTGTCCTTGATGTTCAATTCCAGAATGTTTTTATACATTAAGAGAAATGAAACTATGTCCTTAGAAAATCAGGTTCAGTTCAAATTCAGAGAATTGTGAAGACATGTGAAACATGCTGCACAAGCAAACAGACGAGTACAGATGTGGAGGTGAAGGTTTTTCTACAGCATCAGCAATGCAACAGTTTTGCTTCCAGTGACAAGAAACTGTGTCTCCTCGAAACTATGTTAGTGTAAAACTGATTCTTATTTTTATTTTAAGAGATCACCATCTGCAGTGTTAGAAAGTCTGATGAAGGTTTCGGTTTTTCCACAGCATCAGCAATGCAACAGTTTTGCTTCCAGTGACAAGAAACTGTGTCTCCTCGAAACTATGTTAGTGTAAAACTGATTCTTATTTTTATTTTAAGAGATCACCATCTGCAGTGTTAGAAAGTCTGATGAAGGTTTCTACAAGTGTAACATCGCTGGAGGAGAGGGATCAACAAAGAGCTGGCTGGCTGTCAGAGGTGAGACGAGCTTCAGCCATGAAATAGTCTTTAAGATCCCTCTACACACTGTTACTCTGCTTTAAATGGCATCTCATCTTTCGAAGATGGACACACTTTCAAAAGCGTAGAGCAATGAGGGTGTGAAATAAGTTAGCTTAGCACCAACTGTGTCAAAACATCAGAGCTGTTGTTGTGTTTGCAATGAGGTCAGACTGTGGTTTTTCTCATTTATTGTGCTGGAGCTGGGCGTCCTGAATCTTTTCAACCACCTATCGCGCTCATTCTGCTTCCTGTGCTGGGCGTCTGCCTCTCGCTGGCCTCTGTGGCGCTGCTGTGCCTGTGGAAACAAAAAAATAATAAAAATAAATAAATAAATAAATAAATAAAATAAAAAAATAAATAAAAAATCAGCCTCTGTTATCGTCACGACCAGGCAAGGACTCAGGATGCAGATGCAGGGTACAATAGACAGTTTTTGCTTCTTCAAGGTGCCTCCAAGTGGAGAAATAAATAGGCTATCAACCCAATTCTCACTACATAAGAGGCTATAAAAAAATATCAAAATAATAATCACTCCACTAAGGAGGAAAAACACAATAGATTATTAAACTACTATCTGTAAAAATAAAAACTCTCCAGCAAACTGGAGTCTCTACTCTATAAAAAGTAAGTAAACAAAAGATCACTCCACACGGAGGAAACAAAAGGCTATGCAAACTTAAACTATGACACAAAACTAGGAAATAAACTTACAATTCAAAATCTCTCACTTGGAGGAAGAAGAACGCAAAACTTTCCGGAACGCTGTGAAAAAGAGCTGGGGTGCACGCACGCAGACGAAACACACTGGCACAAGACAAAGGGAGACACAGACCATTTAAACACTGGGCAAGGGGAACAGGTGAAAACACTCAGGGCAATCAGACTGAGACACATGAGGAAGGGCAAGTGACCTGAAACGAGAGGAGAGTTACTTTTCAAAATAAAACAGGAAAAGACAGGACAAAACAAAACCAGGACAAGACAACCTCACCACGGTGTCACTGCAGTGATTTCCTGACAAGGTACTGAGATTTATTTATTGTATTCTGAGGAGTCGTCATCAAATGGGAGCTACTTTGCCACCTGGTGGGTGTCTTGTTTTAGCTAAACCAACAAGACAATCTCCACCTCTAAATTTAAAGATACGGTATATAGATTTTATATCTTGTTTTCATATTCATTCATTCACCAATTCAAATCATTTCCGCTGCAGTGTTCCCTGTTATACTGAATATTATATTGTTATTGTTGTGAAATTACATTTATTTTTAATACATTAAAATAATAATTTAAATCAGTGTTTAGCTAGTATGTGAGTTTGGGGTTTTACTGAAGCAGCTGAGCACACACAGCCAAAAATCACCTTCTCTGCCCCAAAGACTTTTAGTAGCAAATACAATCAGTATTTCGAATCATAGAGAAGGAAGAGAGAGGGAAGATCAGCCACCAAGAAGGTAAGAATAGATGGGAGCTTACTGTTTGGGGCTGTATTGCCCCACCTACAGGTGGCAGGCTGGAGCTTAAACAGTAATTTTCACAATTCAGATGTTGATTTTTTCTTTCTGCAGTATTTAAGTATGCCACAGGAGAGATAATCATTTTGTAGTAGTCACCTCTTCCTTGCTCTCCTCAGCAGGTGTTGTGGGTCTGAAGAGGGAGAGAGGTCCAAACACCTGCTTAATAAGAGCGCCAAGAGTAATCATGTTGATCACAGGGTGTTATTGAATAATTTTTCTGTATTTATGTAAATGTGTATTCTTTGTTTTTTTTTATATCTGTATCATGTTGGTTTTCTGTGACTAATCATTACTTTATATTGGTCTAGTGTTGATCCTGCCGTATTGGTTTCTTCCAAGTTATGACCTGCTGCAGGAAAATGAGTTTCACTCAGAGGTGGTTGGTGATGGTGTGTCAGTGTATGTAGGAAGCTTTATTAAGCTTTGGCGCTTCAAACTAAGCTAGTACAGCGCCATCTGTTGGTTTGAGCAACGTACTGCAGCCCTTCAAGACTTGGGCCAAAAGTTTTTAGTTTTAGTCTCATGCGTGTGCAATAAAAGCTAGAAGCCAGTGAGCTGTTGCTAAACTTGTAATACTTATGTATTATTAATGTTACTGAGCAAAATGTTACAATTATTAAATACATTGTCCAAGAAGGCCAGATATATAATATGTTCACTGACACAAAATACGACTGTATCCTCTAATTTAGGCCCATTGTCCACTGTGTGGTCGTGTGTTTTAACTTTATGGTTGATATTTGAACATTTTATATGATTGTGTGACTGGAAAACGATATTCATCATCATTAGCTTATTACTTTTATTACATTGGGTGGCAATGTTGTCATAAAAGAAAACATTGGGCAAAGATTTTGATTGATGCAATTTGATTTGATTTAATTTAATTTTACTTAATTTTTTGAGAGATACTCAGGGTCTCTGACAATACCATTAGTTATCTTTTAACTACTAATACTAATTTACAACATTCACATAATAACATATGTATTGCCAAGGCATGAATGAGACTATTAGTTTGACTACTATTATCCTAAATCTGGAGTAGAAAGTCAATAAAAATGTTTCTGTATCATGTTGTTTTGAAAATAAAAATAACATAAAAGTATTTGTGTAAGACACTTTGACTATGTTTGCACTCATCAGTAAATAAATAAATATAGTTTTGTTTGTGACTGTTTTAACTAACCCAGACTGTAACAGATGGCAAAGTCCGAACTATAACATCATCAACAATCATAATGCGTGTCACTGCAACTGGCCACTTAACTGAAATAAACTTTTAACAATGTTTGAACCATAGACTGTATCGATTTGTAGACTGTGTATAGATTTCACCACAAAAAATGGGGACAGTTGTAGTCTAGTTACTGTTTTTAATCAACAACAGGGTTACAAAAAGTAGCCATTAAAAAACAAACAAATAAAAACAAACCCAACAGGACAGAACAATATCACATTTCAAAGATAGGTTTACAGCAAGCAGCAACCTCGAAGAGCCAACATGAAACTGCCAAAACATGCAATTCCTCTATTGACCACTAGATGCTGTCAATCCTCATAGACTCCCATGTTTTTACAGCCTGGTGCAAAAAACAGTTCTGGTCTCTACAGCTGATTTACTCCCTCATAACAACTGTACGGGGGGAACCCTTATGTTCAGCCCCATTGTTACACTGTAAAATGTTTTCACGGTTAAAAAACAGCAAACAACTGGAAACAGGATTGCCATTATTTTACTGTAAAATTAACAGTACCATGTTGTTGCTGGTATTTACTGTTTGCTACCGTTTTTGTAAATACAGCCAAAAGCTGTTATTTTCTACTTTTACAGTCAAATTTAAAGGATTGGCAGTTTATTACTGTTTATTTAGACTTTTTTCACAGGATTTATATTTGCAGATTTTTACCGTTAACTGTAGTACATATACAAAACATGCTGCAGTATAACTGCTAACATGGGCTGAAGCTGCTAGGGTCCACATGATTTTGAAGTTGTACCCATAATTCCAATGTTTGTAGTTGTAAATCAAACTTTGCAAACCTGTAAAAAAAAAAAAAAAACTCAAAAGAAATTCAAGTTTCTGCATGTGAAGAAATTATGCCTGTGTTGAAGAGATTTGTATTTGTTAAAAAAAGGTTATTTGAATCAAAATTATGAATAAATAATCAGTAAGGTTGAACAAAGACACTGTAACAGAACAGCATTGAGTTCAGTTTTTTAAGTTCAGTCTTGCAGCTGGAGAAGAGGTCCAGACTTCATCACATGTCTTCTGTAAAAAAGCAGAAGCTGCTCTCTGAACATCTTCTGGGGGGGGGGTCACCACATTAGGTGCTTCCTTCTTTATCCATTAATGTAACACAGAAATGTAAGGAAGCAGATTGTCTTTTTGTTTGTCTTTGGCCGCTTCTTTTCTGCCTTATTCTGTATGTCTCTTGTACTGATTAATAAAAAAACAAAACAACCTAGATGCTCATTCTTGTGTCGTGCAGATTTTAATCAGTGGACAATAGCAGGTTTTAGGTAATGACTTGCTGGGAGATCCTATTGGCTAATAGGAGCCTCCTCTGCCTTCCTATTGGTGGAATCTCACCTTGCTTTTTGATTTTGAAATACCATGAGCAGTGCTGTTTTTTCTAATATTAATCATCTTCTATCATTGAGAGATAAATGAATTCCTAAACACTTCCTGTTTGCAGTACAAAGCAACACATTTGATGTCATCAACTTAGGGAAAGCAAAACCTTTAAGAATTTGTGGTTGATGTTGACACATCCGGCACAGAGTCAGCACTGAGGTGTGATGCAGCCCCTCACAAGCTGCCATTTGGTTCGCTGCAACATGGAGGTAATAGCACTTTGCACTATTGTGGGTGAGTGACTTATACATTATTATAAGTGTGTTTCTGTGTGTGTGGTCGCCTGTGTTAATATGAACCATTAATGTTAGGATCTATTTTCGATTTTCTGATTTGCTTATATTATTAGAAATGATCAAATTAATATACATGCTGGTGTTTAACAAGAATAAATTGCACAATACAATTTGCAATAGATTACTTCACGTAGTTGTGCTAAATAATGCCTGTCCATTTTTTTACAGTATTTTTTTTTATGTTTAATTTTAGAAACTGCTAAACCAGCTCCTGCTTCATCAGCTCCTGCTTCATCAGCTCCTGCTTCATCAGCTCCTGCTACACCAGCTCCTGCTACACCAGCTCCTGCTTCATCAGCTCCTGCTTCATCAGCTCCTGCTACACCAACTCCTGCTACACCAGCTGCTGCTACACCAGCTGCTGCTACACCAGCTGCTGCTACACCAGCTCCTGCTTCATCAGCTCCTGCTTCATCAGCTCCTGCTTCATCAGCTCCTGCTACACCATCTGCTGCTACACCAACTCCTGCTACACCAGCTGCTGCTACACCAGCTGCTGCTACACCAGCTCCTGCTACACCAGCTCCTGCTTCATCAGCTCCTGCTTCATCAGCTCCTGCTACACCAGCTCCTGCTACACCAACTCCTGCTACACCAACTCCTGCTACACCAGCTGCTGCTACACCAGCTGCTGCTACACCAGCTGCTGCTACACCAGCTCCTGCTACACCAGCTCCTGCTACACCAGCTCCTGCTACACCAGCTGCTGCTAGACCAGCTGCTGCTACACCAGCTGCTGCTACACCAGCTCCTGCTACACCAGCTCCTGCTACACCAGCTGCTGCTACACCAGCCAATTTATGAAACCTTGTTCTGCCTGCTTCTTCTGCTGGTCTTGGTTCATTTTGTCTCTGCTCACTTTCATTTTTGTTTTCATCTTTGTCTTTCTTCTTTGTGGTTGTTGTGGTAGTTGTGGTTGTGGTAGTGGTTGTCGTGGACGTAGTGGTTGTAGCAGTAGTAGTTGTGGTGGTTGTTGTAGGGGCTGTGGTTGTCGGTAGAATGGTAGTAGTTTGGGGTTTAGTAGTTGTAGGAGAAGATGTTGTGGTCAGAGGGAGAGTGGTTGTTAGAAGAATAGTTGTTGCTGGTGTTTCAGTAGTTGTGGGTGTAGGGCCAGATGTGGTACTGGCAGGGGCAGAAGAGGTGGTAGCGGGGTCAGATGTAGATGAAGTTCCAGATGTGGTAGTCAAAGGCACAGATGTGGTACTGGCTGGGGCAGAAGTGGTGGTAGCGGGGGCAGATGTAGATGAAGTTCCAGGTGTGGTAGTAAAAGGCCCAGATGTGGTACTGGCTGGGGCAGAAGTGGTGGTAGCGGGGCCAGATGTAGATGAAGTTCCAGGTGTGGTAGTCAAAGGCCCAGATGTGGTACTGGCAGGGGCGGAAGTGGTGGTGGCGGGGCCAGATGTAGATGAAATTCCAGGTGTGGTAGTCAAAGGCCCAGATGTGGTACTGGCTGGGGCAGAAGTGGTGGTAGCGGGGCCAGATGTAGATGAAATTCCAGGTGTGGTAGTCAAAGGCCCAGATGTGGTACTGGCTGGGGCAGAAGTGGTGGTGGGGCCAGATGTAGATGAAGTTCCAGTTGTGGTTGTAAAAAGGCCATATGTGGTACTGGCTGGGGCAGATGTGGTTGTTGGTGAGTCTGATGTAGTAGGAAGAGGGGCAGATGTTGAAACTGGAGAGGTAGAGATAGATGTAGAAGGAGCAGAAGTAGTTGAAACGGATGGTGGGCATTTGCAGTTATTATTTTCAGCGTTAAGGTGAGGGTAAAACTGAGCGACAGTTGAGTCGAGAGGACAATGTGTTCCAGGAAATACTTCAAATTGTGTTCCCATTTTAGCATGAAGCTCTGCCAAGGTTTTCGTCTGCATATATAGAACATCTTTCTTATTTTCTGGTACGTTTTCGCCCCAGTGTGCACTTGCCAACCACATCCCCTGACTGGGACTGTAACAACAGAATGCCGACCAGAGCATGGCTGGAATATTAATGTTTTTGTTGTTGATGCGGATGTTGTTGTTGTTGCTGGGATGTGCTCCGATCACCACAAAGCCTTCTTTACGGCCGTTGTTGTTGATGCAGTATTCATCCAGAACACATTTGATGCAGGTCTCCATTCTGTTCCAGCTTCCCTGGTTAAATGTGCTTTCTTGGGGAACAATGTTGGTCAGAGTGAAAGTAGATTTGGTATCGTTTTCAGTCAAGCCATAAGAGCTTGGTAATAAATGGCCTTTGTCGAACCCTTGGTTCGTGTAATCACTTTTCACAGCCTGGTGACTGTAGCTCCTTTTTTTGTTTTCAATGCCCATGTTGCGGCTGAAACGTAAGTCCTCAAGCTGTAATAAATGGAAGGCTAAATTATTGATGTGGGCTGGACTGCAGTAAAATAGATTAAATGTACAAATGCTAATAAATTCCACAAAGATAATAATTTCAAGTTAACTCCACATGCAACAATATTAGGTGTAAAACATTTGGAGAGCACTCATTGTGGAAGCAGAGAAAGGCCATACTCACAAATATTTTTTTTATCATTTTAAGATAATGAAATAGATTATTTCTCTTTTCAGGGCTTTGTTTTCTCGATATAACGGGATAATTATTTCGTTATTTCAAGATAACGAAATAATTATCCTGTTATGTTGAGAAAACAAAGCTCCATTATCTGAATAATTATCCCGTTATCTTGACATAACAAAGCTCTGTTATCTGTTATCTCGAGATAACACTGCTCTCTCAAGATAATTATTCGGTTATCACAAGATAACCGAAGGATAGTTTTAATAATAATAGTTTTTCATCCGTCAAAAAGCTTACCTGTGGTTCTATCTTCCAAATAGCTCCCGGTCTACTTGCTTCGTTCCCTCTGTACTTGCCAGCAGAAAACACTGGAATCTTGTTGTTGGTGTCGTAGAGTGTCACAAACGTTCTGTTGTCTCTTAGAGTCTGGCAAATGGCTTTGTATCTGTTCTGGTTCTGGATGTTCCCTCCCTTCAAGATTCCCGGGATCCGTGGTGGTGTTTGCTGGAGAAAAAAGTCTGCACAATCTGACATTGATTTCACCACCTCGGTTACTGCAGGACCGATGGGTAGGAGGAGGAGAAGCAGGAGGCACTGCATGTTCAGTAATGCCATCGCCAAACGCTGTTTATAGGTCAGAGGAGAGAAAAAAGTTGATTTTCTTCAGTGTAAACTACAGTGAAAGGTGGACTGTTGCATGTAGAATCAAAATAAACATGACTGGATTTAACTAGTAGAGATAGAGACTTTTCTACTGTATGTATAAATCACTTCTCTGTATCAAGGCTGAAGCTCTACTCAAAGAAAAATAAATCCTACCTCACATTAAACATTTACTTACAGTCATTGTTACAGTCATTACAGGACAATTATTCCATTATTTAAAAAAATAACGGAGCTTACTAACGGAGATAACTGGATAATTATTCTGTTATCTCGAGTTAATGAGATAACAGAGCTTTGTTCTCTCGGAATAATTATCCCATTATCTTGAGAAAACAAAGCTCCTTTATCTAACAGACTAAATTAATGCTACTGAAAAGTAATATATACTACCTTGCACTACACACACACTTTTTTAAATCATATTTGTATACATCTTGGAAACAAAAAAAAAAACAAAAAACATGGCATCTGTGCTATTCTGTAATTTCTGCCAATTTCTATTCACTGAAATTACAAATACAGATGACAGATGAATAAAATGCAGAACAAACACGAGAAGCAAAAAGAAAAACTTACCATCCCTCAGCTAAATTGGTGTCAGTGGAAACGACCGTCTTCCCCAGATATCAACTGAGCCTGAGGAGGAAGTCTGATTTTATACTCAACCATGTATGAAAGTGGGTGTGCTCTTCCCACCAGTAAGATGCTTGCTCTTATCTTTTTGCAACCAGAGAAAACTGGCAGATCTCATCAACACCGTGTTTCACATTCACACATTTCTCAAAAACAGACTTAAGATACTTAAAGACGTGTTAAGTAGAAAAAAAAACAAAACAAAATGACAGAACGCAAAAACACACAAAACATTTAAAGTTATGTTTGTTTTTTGTTTAGAAATTGCACTATTTTGGTCCCAACTGAAATATCTCAGAATCTATCAGATGGATTGCCATCACATTCATGACATTCAGGATATTATGAGCTTGTTTTATACTTTATGTTTAAGATTTAATCACTTTGTTCTTTATCCTATTGTTGTTATTATTCCCTGAGGATGAACTCTACAGACTTTGCTGATCCTCTGACTTTTCTTTTACCACCACCTGGAGGTTGACCTTTGGTTTTTAGCGAAACATCTGTTTGGACTTTTAGTATTAATGGCTCAAATAGTTCTAAAATGCAGTGATAATGTTACTTTAACCGCTATAAATCTGTTTTCATGGAGTTCACCGTGATGGATCACCAATATGCCAGTCTGATTTTCACATCAAACTGAAACTAAACCTGTTGATGTGACCCCTAAAATGTGCGTCTCATGAATTTCTGCGAAGCAGCTCTCACAGAAACCTCTTGTTCCCCTTTTACATGACAACCCCTTTTTAAGGCCATGGTTCCAGGAAAAGTTCATCCTGTGGAAGCATTATACACTAATGCACTGACTCCGTCATGTTTAGTTTTCTTCACAGATAGCTGAAACTTTATGACAGATAATGTTGTATTTGCAACTTTACAAGAAAGAACAATAAAGTTTACAACTGTGTCCTTGATGTTCAATTCCAGAATGTTTTTATACATTAAGAGAAATGAAACTATGTCCTTAGAAAATCAGGTTCAGTTCAAATTCAGAGAATTGTGAAGACATGTGAAACATGCTGCACAAGCAAACAGACGAGTACAGATGTGGAGGTGAAGGTTTTTCTACAGCATCAGCAATGCAACAGTTTTGCTTCCAGTGACAAGAAACTGTGTCTCCTCGAAACTATGTTAGTGTAAAACTGATTCTTATTTTTATTTTATTTTCAGAGATTGGACTTGAATGGATGGTAAACAAAATGAAGCGCGGGCATATGCAAGTTCAGAAAACTTTTGAAAAATATGAAAACTGTATGAATAACTGTGTAACGTGAGGGTTCGATACGTGTTAGGCATCGTTGGCCAGCTGTGGACTGGCCAGTGATATAAAACTAATAATTAATAGTTTTGGATTGTTTATATTTGTGCAAATGAATTGACTGTGTGTGCTTCTGTTTGCAAACTCTATTGACTCAAATTGCCTCTTGAGGGACGAATAGAGTTTTTAAACTGAACTGAAGTGAATGGAAATTTCCACTAGGTGGCGCCACACAGTAGTATGATGCCTGGTGGAGTTCTTACTCCTGTTTACAAACGCTGGAAATATTTTTAGATAAAGCTGTTTGCTTAATCTTTTATTTTGATCAATAAAAGATGAAAAATATTTACATAATATACACAGCATACAATTCAGTTTGTACAGTACTGGCTCTTTTTCTTCATGACTGATCAGTGGATTGAAAGACGTTCAGATTCTCTCCTTGCTTCAGCTCGAGCTGCAGAAAGGGAAGAACATAAAGCCTTTAAGAGGAGCCTTCAATAATCAGCGATCAATAACCATAACTTCATCATTCCTACCTTTAGCCCAGTTTCTGTAGACCTTCACAGACACTACTAGCAGCACAGTGTAAAGGGTGATCAGCAGGACGGTACACATCAGCCTGGGCAGAGACATGACAGGAGGAGGAGGAGGAGGAGGAGGAGGAGGCTGAGCTGTGACTGGATACAAGACAGAAAAAACAAAAAGACATCTGAATAATCTGAGAGAGATTATCATTTGTTCAGTTTTCATTCAAATATTACACGAGTTACGAACAACAGAGGAGTCACCGCTCTCAGCCAGCCCTTCCCGCCCGTGTTTACCTGAAATCTGCTTTATTTCTATTCACTCAGAAAACAGTCAGCCAATCAGAGGAGAGGCTCAGAGCCTCCTCTCTTCTGATTGGGTCACCAACCTGTTGTTACTAGAGCTCCAGAGAGAAGCCTGAGAGAGGAGGTGTAAAACTATTATAACTATATAACATATTGTAGCTATAGTTATAACTGCTAGATGGTTTTTTGGTTCTTAAAACCACAAATATATCTTCTTATGGATATCAAAAATACTGGAAACATGTAACCTTTAATGCACTAGGGTCAGAGAATTTTGTGGTTCTTTACTTGAGTATTTCCTCTTTTTTGATTTGCTTTTATTAAACCAGTGGTTCTCAACTTTATTTTTGAGCAAATGAATTTGAATTGTCACTTTTCACATGAGGAAACAAACAAACTAGTTTGTGTTTGGGAATAACCAGACCTCTGCTGCTCACAGCCAGCCAGCTCTGTGGCGACTGTCCTCTTGTGGGGTGTTCACACCTGTAGAAACCTTCATCAGACCTGGACACTGATGAGAAGGTCATGTTTCCCGCAGGATGGGTCCCAAGGAAAACACCATCTTTGTAGAACTTTGCAGAGAAATTAGACGTGGGTTTGGTGACGTCTTCTTCTCTGTAAGAGCAGAGAAGCATCACTTCATCTCCCTCTGTCACAGGAAGAGCAGGACTCTCCAGGATCACAGCACCATCTGAAAAACAAAGCCACACTCTCACTGTTCTTACGTCCTCTACTTTAATCCTGACGTGTAGTTTGTTCCAGAGAATTACAGCTAAAAAATAATGTCAGAATCAAATTAAAAAACTTAAAAAAGGACCCAAGCACATTTACCGTTAACGGTGATGTTGATGGCGTTACTGCACTCCCCTCGCTCAGACTGACACCAGTACACTCCACTGTCTAATGGATAGATGTTGTCAATGTTGCAGGACAACTCGTGAGATATTCCCCAGCCCGCGCTGCACGGCTCAGAAACCCGAGAGGAGGTGTTTCTCCTCAGTGTCCAGACTCCAGAGTTTTCCGGCACTGTGCAGCTCAGACTGAGGGGGTTGTACCAAAAGAACTGAAGTCTGTTGGGATGGATCTTCAGCGTGGCTGCTGTGGGTTCAAACAGGAAGTACATTTTTTTTTAAAAACTGGAATGTAAAGATGCTTTCAACTGAAACTTTCATGAGCACCAACCAGAGAGGCAAGAGATTTTATTTTTTGGGGTGAAAAAATTGCCCCTCCATAATACTTTTATTTTCAATTGCCTACCTGGGGTTGTTGTCACAGAGGGGGGAAAAATGAATTGAGACAGATTCATTTGACTGTGGGCTTTTATAGAAAGTTATTTCAACCCCCTCAATATACACACGGAGCAGTTTGAGGTTCAGTGTCTTGCTCAATGACACTTTGGCAGCAGCAGAAAAATCTCTCTCAAGAACTTCTTGTTTTCCACAATTTAAACTTGACAAAGCATGGCAACACTTTGTAGATTCAAAACTTTCCACCATTGTTGTTTAGTGCACCACCATGCATAAACAATCCGGCTGTCCACTAGGTGGCGTCAGACATGCAGTATCATATGATCCCAGTGGAGATCTTACAAATTCTCTTTAAAAGATGTTTTTTTTTAATAGATACAGGAAGCTGTTTACGTCATGTTGTATTCTGATCAATTAAGGATTATACAGTACATATATAAATACAACAATACAATTAAAAACAAATAAGATAAATAAAATACAGTATTGTCTTTATGGAGCTGTCAGGATGATAATTAAACTAAATACAGAGCAGCTTCCCGTCACATTCAGGCACTGAAGGTTTTATAAGTAACTTCACTTTGATTAATTGAATAAATAGAGGAAGAGTTTCTGCTGTCAGCCAAGTCTTATGATAACAGAGACTTGGCTTTAATTCAACCTTTTCAAACTACATTGACATGTTTTCAGCATCATTCTGATTCTGAGCCACAACAGCAGTCTGTTCGAACGCAATGGTTGGAAACTGAGCAGATGAAAGTGAAATGAGAAGCAGGCATCTGAGAAGTGACATGATTTCTTCCTGTTCTCTCGATCATAACTGCGTTAAAACAACAATTCAGAGAAGGAAAGGGGTAAAAGAAAGTGGGAAAATAGAGAGTAGGAGGCGATATCTTTTAAAGAAAATAAAAGTAAAATTGCTCACAAAGCATGAGGCAGAGTGAGGTGATCTCCATCCTTGTCCTAACGTAGTTCGTCTTCTTCCTCTTAGTTTCAAAGTTTCACCCAGCAGCAACTGCCCACTTCCTGGCTTCATAGAAAACTACCTACATTTAAAGAAAGATCACACCTACTTTATATATAGTCTGCCTAAGGGAGAGGTGTGGGGCCCATTTTATTTCTGAAACATCACACCTATAACTTATAAGGCGTCATAATCATAAGCTTCAAACTAATTGTATTCAAACAGTGTCACATCTGCCTTTTTTCCTCTTTTGATGCAGTTAAGGAGGTTATAATCAGAACTGAAGAAGCCTTTCCATAAACAACTGCAGCACCTGCAGACACGCAGTTAGTTTTTCCAGTTATGTAGAGAGGTGAGACATGACCCGTTCTGTCACCTGAGGTTTTTATTTATTATCTTATTTCTAGCCAAGGAAGAGCAGACATGGCAACTGCTGCTGGCAGATTTTATCAGCTGTATCATGCGAGGACGACTAACTGCTGACTAAATGCAGCAGGTTTCACTGAGGTGACTGGTGACAACCTCCGAGGCTGAGATATGGAGCCAACACTGAAGAACCAAAAACTGCATTTCCTCTAATGACCACTAGAGTCTGTTTCCAACAGCGAGTCAATCCCCATAGACTTTACAGCAGAAATAAACATGTTTACAGCCTGCTACAAAAAATGGTTTTGGTCTCTAAGGTTAATTTCCTCCTTCATGACTCAACTGTTTGTTTAACTCACCTGTTTACATTTTATTAAGGCTTAAAGTTATGTATAATTGAGGGCATTGCTGCTTTGAGTGACAGGTGGGAGAGCGTATGCTTGCCCCTCCTCTTTGCCCATTTTTGGATTAGCCGGGAGTTCAGTGGAGTCAGGAACTGCCAAGATGGCGACAGTGGAGCAGCTCACTCTGAGCTTCAAAACCGCTCTTGAGAAACCTATGGGGGACGGAGGCTACATCTGTCTTTATTTACAGTCTATGGTCAGGACAGAGCTTCTAAAGAGTGGATGTGTTCTTCCTGTATGTCAGTTACGCTTTCAAGGGAAGGGTTTAGCAAACGAGTTTCCTTAAATACCAATATACTGAGTTCCTCTGAATCACCTGTGCGGGGCAGACTTTATAAAGGTTACCTCATCACACTTCTGTGGTTTAAATAACGTTTATAAAATCGCGCCTGCAGGCTTACAGTAACAAATCATTTCATTGCATTTAAGTCTTTGTCACAGGACATGTGTTACAGTCTGCCGACGATCCTCTACTTTATGAATGAGCCTCACTAAACAGCTTCCGACCTCTACATACTTCAGCTTGTAGGAGGCACTGCGAGAGCTATTCAGCGGCATCAGTGATCAAACAAACAGGAAACAGGAACTGCGACTGTTTTGCTGAAACCTGCAACCTGTCAAGTTTGGTATGAGAGAAGAAAATACACAGAAATTCATTACAGCTAAGATTTTGCTGCTAATGTAAGAGCACTCACTTTTTTAGCATCTGCACAGTTTTTAGTCTGATGCCTAACATTTAGTTGTATGTAGCTCATGCTCGTGAAGTCTCTGCACACCCACACAGATTCACACCTACCGTCAAGATACACAAATGAACAGGAAATGAAGCAGCCTGAACAAAGACAATGAAACAAACCAATCAAAATTAACACAAACTGCAGCAGAATGTATCCAACTTATCACGACGCCAAAAAATGATAGCAAACCATCTGGTTTAAAGCTGCAGTAATCCTCGGAGGTTTGGAAGTTAACAAATGATGCAGCATCACCTCCCCGTCTGCTCACTCATCACTGTGGGAGTGTCAAAGCTCGTAAGCTAGTGCAGAAGCTGTGTGGACTGCAACCTGTGATGTTCTCCAACCACAAGGCAGGGGACACTCAAAGGAGCGATCCCAGACACACTGAAGATATTCTCCCCCACACACATGCAGGATTAAAGTAAACATCCTTTTTAAGCACTGCAAATCAAAGGTTTTCCAATGTGTCTTACATCTACAATATTTAGGTTATACTTAAATCAGCCCGTGAAATAATCCAAACATGTTGGTCTCATGAGAAGAGACATTAATTCACAAGTTAAAAAAAATATATAAGAATTTAAAGTGAGAGCAACTTGAATTCAAATATACAAAAGTCTAGTTTTGAATAAACCTGAAGATGTTGTAGATTTCATGTGACAGGAATTTCTTTCTTCATTTTTTAGCCTCTTGATGCAAAGAACCTTAACACACAACGGCTGTATATAGATTAGAATAGAATAGAATAGTCTTTGTCCTAATCCAGAAAAATAAAAAACATGTCCACAAGTGATATCACATTAACAACAGAGATTTCACACTCTCTCTCTCTCACTCACACACACACACACACACACACACACACACACACATCACAGACCATGTAGAGCTACTGAACAAATTAGTGACATCTGGCGGTTTAAGGGAGGTAGTCCTTTGAATCTATAAATAGCGCGGTCAAACTCGGCTTCCTCTTCATCTGCGCGTGCACATCTACATAAAGTACAGGCGCTCTCTGTAATGAAGACCATGAATACAACGCGTATGGCTGTATGGATACTGCTCCTCATCCCTACAGTGGCACTAACAGGTAAAAATACGTTTACTGTATATTTTTAAAAGGATTTGAAGAACAAACAGAATGAGCGGTTAATAGGGAACAGATTAGAAAAGTATCTGTGAGGTATCTAAAAGCTCTGGGATCTGTCTATTTCCTGGGCAATACAATGGGCATTGTGCTGTAGGCTACATTTTAAAAACTGAATTATTAATATTTTCAGTGATTTGAAAATATACAGGCACAAAAATGAGTCGTGATAGAATCACTTTACATGTAAACAGAGTTTATTATACTTTTATTTCTTTTATTTTTCTGCTGTATTTGTGTGTGTAAATGGTGAAAGAAGATTTTTTTAGACCCTGAACTGTCCTATAATGATATTTTGAGTGCTTACCACTAAACTTTTGTACATTTTTATGGGCGCTTGCGTCAAGTATTTTTTGGGGTTGCTGGCAACTTTACACTAAAAATTAACAAAATGAAAAGAGAAACTTAAAGAAAAAAATAAAACATCGCGGTATCATGTGGGTGAGGACAAAGATAAAACAAAAGGAGGAATGACAAACTCCTTTAAGAGTTTTCCAAAGACACATGTATAAGATATATAAATATATAAAAGACACAAATGAGCTAAAAAATAAAATAAAAAAAAAAGTACAATAAAACCAAAGATAAAAAGATCGATTAAACAGGAGAATAAAAATTTCAGTGCAGGATATGAATAAATTGTCCCAAATTTAATATTATTTAGAGCAGAGGCAAAGAGAAGAGAGACAGTTTGAGTAGAGTTTTCTTGTCCAGATGTGGGGTGCATAAAAACTACACGCTGCCTCTCCATGTTTAGTTTGGACCATGTCCCAGAGATCTGGACAGTTCATGTCACAGCAGTAAATCGTGTGTTTTGGTCCTAAACCATCCAGTGATTTATAAGAAAACAGGAGTCAATTCTTTAATAAAAACCATGTCTGTTCCACCATGTTCACCCCAGTGTGGAAAGCCCCTCTGTAAGGGGGTGTTTTTTTTTTTGCGGAATTAAAACACAGCGTTGATGCGCTTATTGAATGAGCTGCAGGTTTGATGGACGCGCCATTAGTCACGTATGTTACGTAGCGCATAGCCCACATCATGTGTCTGTAGCGGTCTGCACTAACCCCCTTTACACACCACGGACCGGTTTCGTAAGAACTTTCTCATGGACGGCTTGTCTGACAGTCTGGGTTATTTCCCACCTCACTGCAACAACCTCCATGCTGCATAAAAACTACACAAAGAGCCGAAATAAGTCGATGACTTCCCTCATGATTATTGACACTGGCCCAGATCCTAAACATTTGATCAAACACTTATTCAGTGTAAATTCTCAGGCAGCAGCAGCAGACAACTTTATGTCTTTGACAAATGAGGTAATCCGTCATGTTTGTGACTGATAATAATATTCACAAAATAACACTCCACTACAGAGAAGATACAAAAGTCTAGTTTTGAATAAACCTGAAGATGTTGTAGATTTCATGTGACAGGAATTTCTTTCTTCATTTTTTAGCTCTTGATGCAAAGAACTTTAACACACAACGTGTATATAGATTAGAATAGAATAGAATAGTCTTTGTCCTAATCCAGAAAAATAAAAAACATGTCCACAATGGATATCACATTAACAACAGAGATTTCACACTCTCTCTCTCTCACTCACACACACACACACACACACACACACACACACAACACACCACACACACACACACACACACACACAACACACACACACACACACACAACACACACAACACACACACACACACACACACACCACACACACACACACACACACACACACACCACAGACCATGTAGAGCTACTGAACAAATTAGTGACATCTGGCGGTTTAAGGGAGGTAGTCCTTTGAATCTATAAATAGCGCGGTCAAACTCGGCTTCCTCTTCATCTGCGCGTGCACATCTACATAAAGTACAGGCGCTCTCTTGTAATGAAGACCATGAATACAACGCGTATGGCTGTATGGACACTGCTCCTCATCCTACAGTGCACTAACAGGTAAAAATACGTTTACTGTATATTTTTAAAAGGATTTGAAGAACAAACAGAATGAGCGGTTAATAGGGAACAGATTAGAAAAGTATCTGTGAGGTATCTAAAAGCTCTGGGATCTGTCTATTTTCTGGGCAATACAATGGGATTGTGCTGTAAGGCTAATTTAAAAACTGAATTATTAATATTTTCAGTGATTTGAAAATATACAGGCACAAAAATAGTGAGTCGTGATAGAATCACTTTACATGTAAACAGAGTTTATTATACTTTTATTTCTTTTATTTTTCTGCTGTATTTGTGTGTGTAAATGGTGAAAGAAGATTTTTTTAGACCCTGAACTGTCCTATAATGTATTTTGAGTGCTTACCACTAAACTTTTGTACATTTTTATGGGCGCTTGCGTCAAGTATTTTTTGGGGTTGCTGGCAACTTTACACTAAAAATTAACAAAATGAAAAGAGAAACTTAAAGAAAAAAATAAAACATCGGGGTATCATGTGGGTGAGGACAAAGATAAAACAAAAGGAGGAATGACAATTCCTTTAAGAGTTTAAGACACATGTATAAGATATATAAATATATAAAAGACACAAATGAGCTAAAAAAAATAAAAAAAAAAAAGTACAATAAAACCAAAGATAAAAAGATCGATTAAACAGGAGAATAAAAATTTCAGTGCAGGATATGATAAATTGTCCCAAATTTAATATTATTTAGCAGAGGCAGCAAAGAGAAGAGAGACAGTTTGAGTAGAGTTTCCTTGTCCAGATGTGGGGTGCATAAAAACTACACGCTGCCTCTCCATGTTTAGTTTGGACCATGTCCCAGAGATCTGGACAGTTCATGTCACAGCAGTAAATCGTGTGTTTTGGTCCTAAACCATCCAGTGATTTATAAAAAACAGGAGTCAATTCTTTAATAAAAACCATGTCTGTTCCACCATGTTCACCCCAGTGGGGAAGCCCTCTGTAAGGGGGTGTTTTTTTTTTTGCGGAATTAAAACACAGCGTTGAGGCGCTTATTGAATGAGCTGCAGGTTTGATGGACGCGCCATTAGTCACGTATGTTACGTAGCGCATAGCCCACATCATGTGTCTGTAGCGGTCTGCACTAACCCCTTTACCACCACGGACCGGTTTCGTAAGACTTTCTCATGGACGGCTTGTCTGACAGTCTGGGTTATTTCC